GTATTCAATTTTTTCCTGCATTGCTTTTCCAGACTATTATTTTGGTCACAAAAAATGCAACTGATGGATGAAGATCCAATGAATTGTAAAGTTTATGAATGAAGTATTTCAGTCCGAAGCGACCATTATCTGTAAATCTCTCTGTCTACTAGTATTATATCATAGAAATCTCATTATGTGCACTGCTTAATTGTTACTACAGGTATACATGGAGATGAGCGAATAAACAAAACTATACAAAGTTTAAATTTGATAGAAGAAGACGCTTTTCTATACAATGGGACTATTTTTTCCACAGATATCTTGTTTTGATAGCTCATTTGCTTTTATGCAGTTAATGTTAGAAAAAGACGCTATAATATAATATTCTATACAATGAGACGCCTATTTTTCCGCAGATACCTTGTTTTGATAGCTCAATTGCTTTTATGCAGTGCAGCAGTTTGAATTCATGAATGCTAAAGAAAATCCCCCCAAACCCCCTTTTTTTCTTTAGACGAGTTGCCACCTTGTCTCCGGCAGACGAGTTCTGTCAACTCTGTAGAACACTAGGGGTCAATAAAAATGGGTTGACCTTATCTAAACATGTGATCTTTTTATCTAAAAATGAGGAAACGATAAGCTTTATAGCTTAAAAAAATTATATTTAAGTTTTGGCCTTCTGTTACTGTTGGGTATTTAAACGGGTATTTCCCCACATGAGGAAGAGATTTAAAATTAGGTCAACAATTTGAAATCAATGCAAGGAAAAAGTGATCCGAGACTGTTTTCAGTATACAATGCCATTTCACGTTATAAAAAGTTTGAAATTTTATGAAACTATTTTCATATAAATTTTATAATAGACAAACTGAGTAAAATAATAAAATGTAATCAAATAAAAAAAAAACTATTATAACAAATTTGCTCTAGTTGTGCTCATCTGAAAAATATACATCAATTGCAATTATTCGAAATATGAACGGTTTCAAATGTATTGATATTTTACGATACTTGTACATGTATCGCTCATTCAAGTTTATAATATCAAGGGTTTATTACAAAATAAACGAATCCACATCAAATGGTATTCTTCGAGAGAATAATAGAAAATATTAATATCTCCATAATTATGTGTTGTTGTTGCAAAAAATTTTAATGTGAAGCGGAAGTTACTTTGAAGCCAACATGTTCAAAAATATGTCATGGACTCAAGCGCTGGAAATACACATCTGGAAACATGTATATGTATTACCCATACGTTGGTCTACTCCAAAGTTTTCATGACTCGGCTTTTTTCAAAAACTTTTTTGATGTTTATGTATAATCCAAAATCAAACATTCAAACTTTTATTTTCGAAATAAACAACATCTTAAATATATATGTATATACAAAATGATATGCTTCAGTGTAATCTTTAACATCATTTAACATGCAAAAAAAGAAAAAAAAATGTTATTGTAATTTGAAATTGTAGCATGGATATGTATTTAAATGAAGTGAATAATAATAAAACATGTATATTTACATACCATATATATTTATATTGCACAAAAATCTTTTTTTTTAAAAAAGTATGGTAACAATGATAATCTTCATTATCTGAACACTATAACTTTTTTGTTCAAAATTAAATACTGCATCGTAAATGTCTTTATATAAAGAAAAAAGAAAAACGTGTATAAAATAAATATGAAAATATTATCTAGTAATTAAATCAGCCGGTATAAACGAACAATTGTAAAAGGCATTGTCTATAGTGATAAAGGGCAGTGCTGTTTTCCTTGGTAATGTTTAAATAAAGGTTCTACATATCTCTCCGACTAGAGTTTCCCTCAAAATACGTGACAAACTTCCCATCGTCAGAATGCAAAAAGTTGCACAAACTGAAGATATCACCAGCGTTTAAGCTTTAACAAGTTATTTGCTTTTATATGCATTCATTTCTACTGCAATGTCAACATATGTTACAGGAAAAATACGCTCACTTCCTTCCCTCATTATTTACAATTTAAAAATATTTGTAAAAAAAAAAATACTTTCATTAAAAAAAAACAAACACTAAAAATATAGTGCTGAGTGCACATCTGAGTTAAATTCTCATTATCCTTGAAGCAGCTTGTTGATTGCTGCCGATCTTATTTGATTTGAATAAACTCTCTTATCAAGTGATCAATGTCGCTGGGAGAGAGAAATGACAGTCCTTCCCAACAAGAGGTCCAAGGGCCTTAACGGTCACCTGAGTACAACAATTTAGAGGATCCATAAACTGATAAACGAAGCTTTGTTGCCCAATAGCAAGGAAAATAGTACGATTAAGATCATAATAGATGTCTCTATTATTACCTCTCACATTGGCCTCACTTGGCCTTTGAAGAACATTTAAAAAGATGTTATTTTTGTTTCATTTTTATTCATCTATTATTTCCAAGTCTATCTGATTATTAAAACTATGAAAGTACTTTTTGCATTATACAATAAATGTTCTTGCTTAATTTTCTTATTCTATTAATCTTTCAAATACATTATCTACAGTGATTAATTATCAAAGGTGAATGGCAAAGGTGAATAACTTCACTCAGTAGAATACAAATTAATAGAGCCCTGGCAAGGACCAGAACACTTGACTAAATGGTCCAGATGTTCAAAATTCTGGTAAAAATACCTTGCTTTTTAAAACTTTTACTCTGTTTGCTTCTAATATGCCCAGGAGCAGAGGAGATTTTCAAAGAAATAATGCATTTTCACTATTTAACACAGCCCTACCCTAACACCAGAACCCATGACCTAGGGTCATGAAAATTTACAAATTTGGAAGAGGTACCCTCATCATCATAACTATGCAATTAGTTGAAGATTTTCAAAGAATTCACACATTTTCACTACATAATCAAAAAGAGCACCCCCCCCCCGAGAAACAACAGAATCCCTGGGAGTTTTAAAAAGTTTTAAAAATTTTGTAAAAGCATCCTTGCTCATCATAACTAAACACTTGTTTCTTTGCTTTATAACCAGGAGTGGAAAAAAATATTTTGAAAGAAATTATGAATTTTCACTATATAATCAATAGAGCCCCCCCCCCCCCTTCACCAGAACCCCTGACCCAGGGGCAATGAAATTCACAATTTTGGAAGAGGCAGCCATGCTCATCATAACTATGTACTCAGTTAGTATATTTCATACCCAGGAGCAGAGAAGAAGATTTTCAAAGATTCAATGCATTTTCACTATATAATCAATAGAGCCCCCCCCCCCCCCCACCTAACACCAGAACCCCTGACCCAGGGGCCATGAAATTATGAAATTCACAATTTTGGAAGAGGCTGCTATGCTCATCATAACTATGTACTTAGTTAGTTTATTTAATACCCAGGATCAGAGAAGAAGATTTTCAAAGAAATAATGCATTTTCACTATATAATCAATAGAGCCCCGCCTTAACACCAAAACTCCTGACCCAGGGGCCATGAAATTCACAATTTTGGAAGAGGCAGCCATGCTCTTTATTATAACTACATACTTAGTTTATTTCATACCCAGAAGCAGAGAAGAAGATTTTCAAAGATTTAATGCATTTTCACTATATAATCAATAGCCCCCCCCTCCTTACACCAGAACCCCTGACCCAGGGGCCATGAAATTCACAATTTTGGAAGAGGCAGCCATGCTCTTTATTATAACTACATACTTAGTAAGTTTATTTCATACCCAGAAGCAGAGAAGAAGATTTTCAAAGATTTAATGCATTTTTACTATATAATCAATAGCCCCCCCCTCCTTACACCAGAACCCCTGACCCAGGGGCAATGAAATTCACAATTTTGGAAGAGGCAGCCATGCTCATCATAACTATGTACTCAGTTAGTATATTTCATACCCAGGAGCAGAGGAGAAGATTTTCAAAGATTCAATGCATTTTCACTATATAATCAATAGAGCCCCTCCCCACCCCCTAACACCAGAATCCCTGACCCAGGGACCATGAAATTCACAATGCTGGAAGAGGCTGCCATGCTCATCATAACTATGTACTTAGTTAGTTTATTTAATACCCAGGAGCAGAGAAGAAGATTTTCAAAGAAAGAATGCATTTTCACTATATAATCAATAGAGCCCCACCCTAACACCAAAACCCCTGACCCAGGGGCCATGAAATTCACAATTTTGGAAGAGGCAGCCATGCTCATCATAACTATGTACTCATTTAGTATATTTCATACCCAGGAGCAGAGAAGAAGATTTTCAAAGATTTAATGCATTTTCACTATATAATCAATAGAGCCCCCCCCCCCCCCCAACACCAGAACCCCTGACCCAGGGGCCATGATATTCACAATGTTGGAAGAGGCAGTCTTGCTCAACATAACTATGTACTTAGTTAGTTTATTTAATACCCAGGAGCAGAGAAGAAGATTTTCAAGAAATAATGCACTTTCACTATATGATGTATATAGCCACACCCTAACACCACAACCCCTGACCCTGGGGCCACGAATTTCACAATTTTGGTAGAGGGCTCATTGCTTATTACAATCATGCCAACAGTTTGACTGCTTGATGTCCAGGAGTAAAGAAGAAGATTTTTAAATATTGCATTAATTTTGGTGGTTTTAGCCCCACCCCTCAGGCCCCAGGGGGGCAGGGACCATGAAATTCACAATTTTTGTTCCCCTTCACCCATAGGTGCTATATGCCAAAATTGGTTGGAATTGGTTGAGTGGTTACAGAGAAGAAGCTAAAAATGTTCAAATGTTAACGTACGACGCACGACGAACGACGAACGCCGACGGACAAAAACGGATAGCAATAGGTCACCTGAGTGACTCAGGTGACCTAAAAATTTTGACAACATAATGGCAGATGCTGAGAGATCCACTTTACCTATAGGATGTCTCTCAAACCCCATCCCACTCCCTTTCCGCACAGGATTTCAGGAATGTCTTCATTCTATGAATCTTTTTTTGTTTGTTTGTCTATTCTTATTCTGGTACAATGCCTCCCCCCCTCCTACATGGTTTACCATCTCAGCACTGTCCCCTGTATGAAGAAGCTTACTTTCAGTGTTCCTTTTACATGCTGTCAAAACATGCCATTTATCTAGATACCTTGAACAGTCCATCAGCACTTTTTTTTTTTATTTTTCAAAATACACAATGTATCTATTAAAAGTGTTTGAATCCACCTTTAATTTTATTTTCACGCACTGCAGAATACTTTTGGTTCTGTTTGTTGGGTTTCGTACAAAAGACGATTACAAAAATAACAATCATTATGAAACCTTAAAATGGTGTTCAGTAGATCTAAATTTGGAGGTAAATTTGCTACAAGTTGGCCGATAGAAAGGTTCTGGTGGGCCCTGCATAAATCATTTAAAATTAGATTTGATGGACCATTATCAGGGTTCCCTTTTCTGTGCCACCTGCAAGAGTGAAATTAAGATCGTTTAATCGAAAAGAAAAAAAATTGTTACCTCAATGATGCATCAAAGACAGAAGGCAATTTATTCTTACTTTGCTGAAGATGCTACAACGGTTTAAATATTTTTACATGCGCGGATCTATATGGGGGTTGGGGTGGGTGGGGGTGAACCCCCCCCCCCCCCGGAATTTGCAGAGTTATTAAAAGTATATACTGAAGCAAATTAAAAAAAAATGAATTTGGACCCATCCACCCTAGGAAACGTGAACCCCGCCACCACTACCATGAAATAGGTTTATTTTCACATTTGGGAAATGGATTTTGGGTTTTGACTGGGGTGCAACCCCCCCCCCCCTTTGGAAAAAATGTCTATTTTTTTCATTCAATTTCAGCAATAAAAGTGAACTACAAGCACAGGGGCATCTTATCCGCTCTGTTCTCTATTACACATAAAATAAATACACAGGTGTAACAGAGAACAGAGCAGGTAAGACGCCCCTGTGCTGCATGTTTTCAGCCATAAGCTTTTGCGCACAGGTTAGTTTTGAATCTTTGAAAAGTGTTCTGCAAGAATTATTTTATGAAAATTATACATTGCTGTTTACTCCAATATCTTTTTGAAAAAAAATGACCACACTTAATTATCTTGTTCTAAAGTTGTTCTTCAATTTTCCGGATCATAAACTATGTAATATATTGATGTAACATTCAAAATACCTGCAACAATTTTATTTATTTTTGTTGAATAAGACGACATAATAAAGAAAGAGTTAATTAACTTGACCATTAATTTTACATTTACTTTCACAGGTTAACACAGGCACGGATCCGGGAATTTTTTCCATACTTTTAACATACTTTCTACTTTAATTATTTTTTTTAATGTTGACATGTTGCTGCAATTTTGAATTTCTTTTTATATGTATTATTCTTTACTTGTATGCCCTAAAGGGTCCCATATTGGTATCAATAAATCTTATCTTATACTTTTAATAACTCTGCAAATTCCAGGGGGTCCGGACCCCCACCCCCTCTAGATCGTAACAAAATACTTACTCCACACTTGAAATACGTTTCCGGAGATCTTCCATATCCCTGAAGATTGCATCTATCTTCAGCTTACATTCTAGTTCATCTGCAAAATAAGTACAGGTTTGGATGCTTTCGGTAGTATACAAAAAGTTACATTGGTAAAAGCTGACACGAAGATATTTTATATCAATAAAATTTATTTACCTTTAGTCGTGGATAATGATGAAGGTGGGGAAGCCAAACACATGTTCGAAATGGAAGAAAAATCTGAAGGGAAAATACCTTGTGAAACATCTCTATATGCTAGAATGGGGTCAAACAAATAAATTAATCATTTAGATTTTATCAAAAGTAACTCACATTCAAAAACGTCCTGTTGCACATTGCAACTCCAGCGGAAACTAGATTTAATGGATTCAAGACCATCAGGTTGTCCCCGATCTGTAAACATAAATTAATAGCCATGACTGATTCAATAAATGCGATTTAATGAAAAATATTTAGCAAACTTAATAATCTTTTTTGTAAATTCAGTTGTAAGAATCGTGCATTACTGAGTATTTAATTATGCAACTATAAGGGAAAAAAACAATATCATTAGCATAATAATTTTTATTGCTCACCTTCCACCCTCAACAAAAATACATTTCTCTTTGGCCAGCTTTCGGTGGTGGTCCAGTAATATAAACCAGCGTCCGAAAGTTCTATTTCCTTTATGCAGTGTAGGAATGGATATACAGCTACTCCTCGATAGTGGGCTTGGGCTTGGTCTTCACGCCTTATTTGAAGGCTGTTTGAGTTTAACATGATCTCTTTCGTTGCAATGTAAACAAGTTCCCCTGGATGTTAAAATGAGTTAACAATGAATTTTTTTCATATATATGACACGTCAAACGTTTCAATATTCGATCTTTTCCATTTGTATTTTATAATTTTCCATTTATATTCTATAATTTTCCATTTGTATTCTATGATTTTTCATTTGTATTGTATGATTTTTATTTGCATTCTATAATTTTTCATTTGTATTCTATAATTTTTCATTTGTATTGTTTAATTTTTCATTTGTATTTTATACATTTTCATTTGTATTGTATAATTTTTCATTTGTATTGTATAGTGATTATTTGTATTCTATAATTTTCCATTTGTATTGTATAATTTTCTTTTGTTTTGTAGAATTTTCAATTTGTATTCTTTAAATTTCCATTCGTATTGTATAAATTTCCACATGTATTGTAAAATTTTACAATACAAATGGAAAAGTATATACAATTCAAATGAGAAATTTTACAATACAAATGGAAAATTTTAGAATACAAATGGAAAAGATCGAATATTGCAACTTTATACATGCCATACATATACTAGTAATTCAAGAATAGACTTAATACATATATTCAGTTACTAGTATGTTTATCTAGAAAAGGAAAATACATGTTACCTCTCTGAACAGTAAATTCCAATATTCCCTCTTGGTTCACCCCAGTCCATAATGTCTGAAATACCTTTATATTTTCATCTGAAAATTAAGGATCATTCGTAATCGCAAGTAGTACAAAACATGTATTAAAATTCATTGTCGAGATTTACTATTAAAACGTCCAAAATTTCTTCAAATTTTTTTTTCTCTGAAACTTAAGCGAACGAGGGTATCCAGTGCTCCTGTATATTTTTCATTGGAGGTTTTGTACTATCGTGCATTACTGAGTATTTAATTATGCAAATGTAGGGAAAAAACATTAACATTAGCATAATAATTTTTATTGCTCACCTTCCACCCTCAACAAAAATACATTTCTCTTTGGCCAGCTTTCGGTGGTGGTCCAGTAATATAAACCAGCGTCCAAAGATTCTATTTCCTTTATGCAGTGTAGGAATGGATATACAGCTACTCCTCGATAGTGGGCTTGGGCTTGGTCTTCACGCCTTATTTGAAGGCTGTTTGAGTTTAACATGATCTCTTTCGTTGCAATGTAAACAAGTTCCCCTGGATGTTAAAATGAGTTAACAATGAATTTTTTTCATATATATGACACGTCAAACGTTTCAATATTCGATCTTTTCCATTTGTATTTTATAATTTTCCATTTATAAAAGATGCGCAAGCGTGAGGCGAAAGTGCTCTTAGTGAAAAGAAAATTATCTGAAGTTTGTAATGGTATTTGTGGATTTTGAGTTACGGAGATAGAGATAGTTGTTTGAGATGTTTCTTGGGAGGATTTAGAAGGATTAATAATGTCTGAATCTGAACGAAGAAGACTCTCGTCTGATGGACAGACACCAAAACCCCCGAACAAGATGTTCAAGATGGCGGCATTGATCGGTGAGTCTAACACAACAGAAAGCTTTGAAAATAAAATGATTGATCAAATGATTATAATTGCTAAAGCAATAGATCAACTCCAGGATGGTCAGATACAGTTAAAATCAACATTAAACAGTAAATTAGACAGATTCCGAAATGAGTTTATGTCATCTGTCGACGAAAAGCTCAAAGGTATCCGTTCTGACCTTGACCTTGAACTTGGAAAGCAGCAAAGCCAAATCGACTCATTGTAACAGTCTGTTGCGTCCATTCTTCAGAGATTCCAGGTGTAGAACGCCCGTACCTTGTACATGTAAGTAGGTCAGCAGATGAATCGAACACGCTGTTTGAAAACAAGGGGAAAACCCTGAACATTTAACGATTATAGCTTCAAACATTCCACAGGAATCGGACGAAGACATATTGGAGGTCTCAAACGAATTGATAAATTCTCTAAATGCATCAATTAATGTGGTTGCTGCTGCTCAGTTGAGAAATCGGAACGCCGGAAAACCGGCTTTAGTTAGAATTAGCTTTGAGTCAGTCCAGGATAAAATACAGATCTTGAGGGAAAAGAAACAATTGAAAACAGTGGAAAAGTATAAGCATGTGTTTTTGCGTGGTAGTAAAACTCATACCGAAAGATTATTGGAATTGAACAGGTTGGGCACAGTTCCTTTTTCGGGGAAGTATTACTATGAAACGGGATTATTCCTCTTTTCAGTAATAAAAAAACATTACCCTATACGAAAATTTTCGTCATATTTTTAAAATAATGCCCCACATCCGTTTATTAAATAAAAAGAGCATGAAAAATACGACGTGATTTGTTTAAACTTTATTAAACCAACCTCGCTGACAAAAAAATTCTGTCCTTTAGTGCTGTTGACGGGAGTAAGATGGGATTTAATCGTACGACATCATGAATATTATTCAAACGGATGTGAATATTTCCCTTATAAGTTATATTATTATTTGTTCAAAAAAACGGAAATTTTCATGCTTGGTTTCTTGGAGGTGACATCTTTTGAACATGCATAGGAATTTAAACTCACGTGCAGTAGTAATCCATGATTTCATGGACCTTTACTTTAATTTTCCCGATGCGAAAAGTATGGAATCTTATAAGGGCATTCATGCTAAAACCATCTTTGAAAGACTATGTTTTAAAATTTAATATTTCAAATAATTATTTTCATCCGTAAAAGAAGCAGTGGTATAAAAAATTATTTTTACGATGTTTTTGAAAGAAATTATATAAAATTAAATTATAACGAATAATTTTATGAACGAGTTATCAAGTGCTGAATGTATTTCAATCTCACAATTTTAACACAGATAAGCTTCCGAAAGAAATTTATATCGTAGAAATATTTCATCACTCTTTTTCAGCATATTGCAGCGATGGCTATTGTAGTTTTGAGCATACGAGGGGTGATCAAAAAGTTCGCGAACTAATAGAATTACTCCCTTAAAAGAAATAAAATGAGGTTTCAGTGTTCATTAATTTTTAAAGTAGTCCTCTCCGATTTTAATGCACATCTGCCATCGTTCTGCCCATGCGCGAATCACGTGATCCAGGCGGTCACGTGACATGCTTCGTAGCGGTCTGTTCACAGAAGCTAAGAGATTTTCCCGAGTCTTATATTTCTTACCATGCAAGTAATTTTTTATAACAAGAACAGCCCATCTGTCAGAAATGGTCAAATATCGGCAATCGGATGGGTGGATAAGGATATCCCTTCTCAGAATTAGCATGGTGACCATCACAACCCGATTCCTTTGTCTCGGGAGCGTCGTTTATTCAATGTGGGAAAAATATGGGCGCCTTCTTTTTTTCATATCTCATATGTTTAAAACCTAAAGTAAACATTTTTTAGGGATTTGATAATTATTTTACTGCTCAAATATTCAAGTATTTTTCTTAGTGTAACTTTTCGATCTTTCAAAATAAATCGCTCAACTAAGGACACATCTTTTTACCGGCTTGCTTTCGCTGGGCGACAGAACAAACATCATTTTAAACCATCTCCCTGCCTTCACTAAAACATTTAATCCAATTTATGATTGAACTTCTGGTAAGTCTTTTGTCTTCATAAACCTTGTGCAAATTATCATATTCTACTGCAAAGGAATTTCCGAGATATACGTTAAACTTTACAGCTGTTCGTTGCTCGAGTACGACTGAGTCAACTATTTTTTGTCACAGGTGACCTACATACTGACGTCATTTTCACATTGTGACGTCACAAACACGGAGCAAAACATTATTTAACATCTGCTATATATAGAACATGTGTATGACTATATGTGTGCCAAATTTCATTCTGATCTGTATTGTGGTCTTTTAAATATAGAGATAGTTCGCGAACTTTTTGATCACCCCTCGTACATACACTTAATAGGCTTTAAATATTTAGAAGATGTGAAAATATTCTTGCACTTAATCTTTTATTCAAAGCAAACACGAGAATAGAGGGTAAACGAGTGAAAATTCCCGTATACAGTAATGTTTTTTTTATTGCTGAAAAGAGGAATGATCCCGTTTTATGGTAATACTTCCCCAAAAAAGGAACTGTGCCCAACCTGTTGAATTCACGTACACTGCTAAATGAATTGCCTCATGGAAAAGATTTTCGAATCACCTAACAAATTTACTTCGGTTTCGTCAAAAGGAAAGGCTGTGGTAGACTACATATGTGTTCCTCATGATCAGCTGGCAAACTGTCATAACTTTAGAATAAAAACTTGTAGTGATTTGGTGGAATCAGAAAAATTACAAAATTGTCTTGGATCCAGATGTCGTGTTCCAGACCATGACCTCTTGATATTCGAATACAGATGTAAAATTGAAAGTCCGGATGAAACAAGTGATGCCAACATTAATTCAAAAAACAACTTTCGCCATACTCCAAGGAAAAAGTTCAAATTCAAACAAATGCCAACAAATTTCATGTGTTCGGACATTATAAAAGAAGCTTTGTGTGAAATTATTAGTCAAATAGAATTGTGCAGAGAAAAACAAAATGAAATCGATAAAATCTTTGACAAACTATGTAGTATTATAACAACTGAAATGGAAGAAAAAATACCATTTTTTGATGCATCAAAAAAAGCTAGAAAACGATTGAAGTACAATAAACCTTACTGGAATCAGGAACTCTCAGAACTATGGTAAAAGTAACAAAAGTGAAAAATATTTCAGAAAAGCCGTAGGACGAAAGTGTAGACAAGATGCACGGTTACAGTTTTTAACAGCACAGAGATATTTTGATAAGCGACTTAGATTTCATGAAAGAAATTATAGACGTTATTTAGCATTAAACATTGAAACACTTAACGATTCTCTGTAACCACTTAAACTTCTTTGCCACGCATGGTCACCGATTTTGATGAAACTTTGCCCATTATTACAACTTGACACCAAAAACATATATCAAATAAAATTTCATTGCTATGTGCTTTGGTTGCCATGGTAACAGCCAGAAAAGTTGAAAAAATTGAGATTTTCAGCTTCTTTGAATCTTTATTAAGCCTTAATAAAGACTAAGAAAAACAAACAAACTATTATTACAAAAATATGACACCTTGTTGCCACTTATGCTATAAATAAACTATTAAGAATTTATCTCTAAGTAAGTGGTAACCATGAGTACATTTGGAATATATTTTAGATGCTGAAAAATGCTGAAAAACGCTAAATATTCAATAATGATAGATGTTACATGATCAAACTCAATCAACAACCAAAGAAAAACAATAAAAATATTTGACCTTAAGTAATTGGGTATTGTCAATATTATTCTAAAAATAGCCTTTATGGTTGTCATGGTAACACAGTGTAACCATGCAAAATCTGTTGCTAAGATTGGGTTAATGCTTCTATCTTGAGGAAAAACAATAAATTTCATGACTAGCACATATATATCCTTAGGACCTTGCAACACCGACAACATAAGAAAAATTGGGATTAATTGTTACTTTGCAGTGTAACCATGGAAACAATGTACCAGTTGTTTAAAGTGATATTTTTTTGCTGCTTTAGGAATTTACTTACCTTTCAATCAAGAAACATATTATTTGACTCACCTTGAATAATATTTATCTGGTAGAATTGAAGTTGAGTATCATATATTGATAAAGTTTGTTGAAAAATACAACATTGTAGCTATGGTTACCAAGAAGGGAAAATGCTCGATTTTGTCAATTTTTTATCAACATCAAATCCCATGTGCCAGCTTTTTGCATCCAGTTAGAGATTCGGTGGTAGTCAAAATCGAAAGTCAAGTTAGTTGTTCATATATATCAATCATAAAAGTTTTGGGAATCTACATACAAGGGTACGTATCCAAGGAAACAGAATATTTTTCAGACTTTTATGCATATTTTTTCGGCTAATTTCCATAGCAACGCTCTATTTAAAGAATTGAATTTGAATTTTTTGAAATGTGGAAATTAGGGTCACACCAAGGCCTTAAAAAATTGATCATCAGTTATATAGAAATATGCTTTTTAAAAAGATAGGATAAGATTAAAACACTAAGAGAGTAAATTTAAAATCCCTTTGTGGTATTAAAACCATGGCAACCATTGCCAACCTATAAGAAATATCATATTCTGTCCTTGGTATATGTTACAAGGATCTCTTGTCTATTATATGCTTGCATTTCAACCTATAATTGTTTTTTATTCTTAAGTGTACGACTTTATAAAATTAAATGAACAAAATTATACTTTTGAATACTTTGTTCCATAGTAACATATGTAATAGTTGATTTACCAAACATGTTTATCATGCATTTAAGACATCAGACCTTCAACTTTCAGAAACAGTCATTGTCACTTGTTTGCTTTGCTGCAAACGTTAACTGGAGGACTCTGAACATGTTGAAAAATGCCATTTTTCAAACTTTAGGACATGTTGCTATGGTAACCATGACACATAGCAACCAATTTTTGCCTGATTTGAGTTTACGTTATCAAAGACTTTTATCTTAGAGAGTTTGGAGAAATTCTGAGACTATGCGTGCCACAGCTCCTATATAAAAGTTAAAGTCATTACAGAGAATGGCTCTTAATACAGAGAACCCAAGTGCCTTCTGCTCAGTTTAGATGTATCCTTCCGCAACGAATAGAAACAGGCCGATTTAGAAATGAATCGCCAAAAGAACGTTATTGTGTTTTGTGTAAAGACGGATCGGTAGAAGACGAAAAACATTTCTTATTTCATCGTAAAATCTATGAAAATATCAGAGAAACTTTTTTTTTTATAATGTTATTTTAAATAGAAATGTAGATCCAGTTGAAAATTTAAACACTTTAATGAAAACTCATCAAAGACAAACTGCCAAATTTTTAAATTTATGCTTTTGAATAAGACAAAAATATTTATACCAATCAAATTAATGTCATGCGCGCCATCTTTATTGAAAAAAGAAATATTGTACATATATTAAAGTGACATATGGGTCCAATACTGGGTGTAATGTATATACATTTATATTGTATCTATGTGTTGTTTGAAAAACCATACACATGTCACTATAATAAAATAATAAAATATTTACTTAGTTACTTATATTCTATAATTTTCCATTTGCATTGTATAATTTTTAATTTGTATTGTAAAATGTTTATTTGTATACTATAATTTTTCATTTGTATTCTATGATTTTTCATTTGTATTGTATAATTTTTATTTGCATTCTATAATTTTCCGTTTGTATTCTATAATTTTTCATTTGTATTGTATAATTTTTCATTTGCATTGTATAATTTTTCATTTGCATTGTATATTTTTTTTCATTTGTATTGTATAATTTTTCATTTGTATTGTATAAAGATTATTTGTATTCTATAATTTTCCATTTGTATTGTATAATTTTCTTTTGTATTGTAGAATTTTCCATTTGTATTCTTTAAATTTCCATTTGTATTGTATAAATTTCCATTTGTATTGTAAAATTTTACAATGCGAATGGAAAAGTATACAATTCAAATGAGAAATTATACAATACAAATGGAAAATTATAGAATACAAATGGAAAATTATAGAATACAAATAAAAATTATACAATACAAATGAAAAAAGTACACAATACAAATTAAAAAATATACAATACAAATAAAAAATATACAATACAAATGGAAAATTATTGAATACAAATAAAAATTTTACAATGCAAGTGGAAAATGTTACAATACAAATGTAAAATTATACAATACAAATGGAAAAGATCGAATATTGCAACTTTTGACATGCCATACATATAATTCAAGAATAGACTTAATACATGTATTCAGCAGGGTTGGCTGGGAAATACCAGTGGTGGGAATTACCAGTGGTAAATACCGGTATTTCTCGTCCCGGGAAATACTACAAATTTTCTCTAAACTTGGAAATATTGGGAAATACAAAGTTTAAGTTTTTTATTTCTTTAATTCATTCAATCTTATACAAAATTCAAAAATAAAATAAACACAAAAACAGAAGATGAATAATATTGAATATGTCTCAAATTTCAATTTAGCATATTCAGAATGTATCACTACTCCAGGCCCCATTCCCATATCAGCATTCTGAAACATTTCCCTTGCTGTATAAAACTGAAGTTTTCCAATTCAAATTTCTTTTCAGTTTAGTAACATTATTAAGTTTATTAATTAAAAATCCAAGAACAAAACAAACTTGTATTAATCATTAGAACTATAAACACTAAAGTTATTACAATCAATCATGTTGTTTCTACAAATTGCTCTAGACAGTTTTGTGCTCCTGTTTTGAGATATAATTACCTTGAAAGGACTGAAAGGCTTCTTCTTAGGTTTGATATTTATACCATACTCTACATTTAAGAATTTTCTTAGATCCTTCTTTAGTTACATAAAATAATTTGGATCTTTGGGTTCATTTCCTGGACCTTTATAGACTACATCTGAATCAAGCATGAAACAAATGACACTCATGACTGGTATATGAATACCGGTATACTGTCACAGTGTTATGATTATATAAAATGAATTACTTGGAAACCAGAATTTTTTTAATCAGGGACAGTGATACCAGGTAGATATCATATCCAATAAAGTGTACTACATGTCAATATGAATGATTTATGTAACTATTTCTTAATTCCCAGTATTTCCCGGGAAATAACAATAATTCCCGGTAATTACTAGTACTTCCCACCGTCCTGGAAAATAGGAGTATTTCCCAGATTTTTGCCAACCCTGGTATTCAGTTACTAGTATGTTTATCTAGAAAAGGAAAATACATGTTACCTCTCTGAACAGTAAATTCCAATATTCCCTCTTTGTTCACCCCAGTCCGTAATGTCTGAAATACCTTTATATTTTCATCTGAAAATTAAGGATCGTTCGTAATCGCAAGTAGTACAAACATGTATTAAAATGCATTGTCGAGATTTACTATTAAAACGTCCAAACTTTCTTCAAATTTTTTTTCTCTGAAACTTAAGCGAACGAGGGTACCCAGTGCTCTATTTTTCATTGGAGGTTTTGTACTAGTACCTTGCTTGCAGAAAGGATTCTCCGAGTGTTCCACGGGGGTTCTATTTCCCTCGCTGTTAGTTCCCTCACTGCTAGACAGATCTGAGTTTGTAGATGCAGTCTCATTACAACTCTCCGTATCAGATGTGGATATATAAGGTTCACACGTTATATCTGCTAAAAATATTTTTTTTACTCCCTCGTGTCATACATTTCAACGAGAGAACAAATAAATATAAATAATAAATAAATAAAAGACTATACGTACCAGGTACGTGATTTGGAATCATTGGTGTTTTCACATCGCTTTCTGACTGAATACAGCTTTTTGCATATTTCTTTCTGACGCGTACACAATACAAGGCGGCAATAATGACCGGTATCAGCAACATTTCCAGAGCGAAAACTACAAAATTCGGGGGAGGAAATCGTCAGAAAACAGTGTTTCACTGCAGGGGGATATTTTTCTTAATCCTGTGTAAATAGTCTTTATTATAGTTAATAGATTATACTTACCAATTTGAATTTCCAAACTGCAGTACCACTCATCTGCAATGAAATTCATATACCGGTATTTAATTTAGAGAAAATTTCTTTCAACTAACGTTTGATTCCAACATAAATTTCATTGATAATAAGACTTTATGTAGGCGATTTTTTCATGAACCATTAATTAAAGCTTCAATCAATTCCATATTTAGTTGCAGTCTTCACAATTCTTTACCACATTTCTCTGATGGACAAGTAACTTGGGATGGGTCTTTATGCCAGATGGATTCCCTGCCACAGTGTGCCATTATTGATGTTTTGAATTCTGGACGGCACAAGCCGATGTACCTATATCCCGCCAAACTTTCATTTCCAGCCCTGCTTCCATTCTCCAACCTCCACTCAAAACGATTTGGAAGTGGCCCACAACCTAATTATTTTGATTAACCAGTTATATGCATAAAAAACACAGATTCATTTATTTTTTCACATATGAAAATACAAATAGACGCTTCCATAAATAGTATACTATAGTATGTGCACTGTTTTACCTTTAAGACATCGGAGTTCTGTAAGGTTTACATTCCACGTTAGATTTTCCCCACACCGGATACTGCTGAAATTACTTTCGAGTATACTTGTCTGAGGACATTCCGGGAAATACTCTTCGTACACAGTACTCAAGTTGTTTCTAATGGGTCTCCCAGATTTTGTTTTCCAAAACAACCCGTCTATGACTGGTAAGGGACCACAACCTGAAACCGATAAATGTATGTACATGATTGTATGACATAAGTTATTTTGAGGAACTTTGATATTCGCAGGCACGCAGAACGCGGGAAGGGGGGGGGGGGCTCAGGACTCTTCTTACCTTCGGGTTAGGGTGAAGGTGTTGGTGTGAGGGCAAGTACTAGAGTAAGAGCTAGAGTTAGGGTTAGGGGGCAGCCCCCCCCCCCCACTTCCCCGACTTTTTTTCTGAGTATAGTATTTTGCTCCGGTAAATTTTTCCATTAAATGCTAGTTCCCCCCCCCCCCCCCCCACACACACACACAAACACACTTTTTGTTGCTGTAAGATCGAGCACTGGCAAATTCCAGGATTCGGACAGTTAATTAGAGTATTTTTTTGCTTGTCAGTTTTTTTTTTTAGGAAGTTGCCTCCTTCCCCCCCCCCTTCACTTTTGAAACCGTTGCTACGGGCCTGATTCGACCACTTTAATGACAATTCTTGTAAACTATAAAATATCAATGAAACTTTATCATCTGCACTGTTACCTTTAAGACATCGGAATTCTGTTGGATTTACGTTCCACGTTAGATTTTCCCCACACCGGATACTGCTGAAATTACTTTCCAGTATGCTTGTCCGAGGACATTGCGGGAAATACTCTTCGTACACGGTGCTCATGTTGTTTCGAATAGGTCTCCCGGATTTTCTTTTCCAAAACAACCCGTCTATGCCTGGTAAAGGACCACAACCTGAAACCGATAATGGTATACATAATTGTATGACATGTTATTTTGCAGAACTTTCTATCATGACAGTTTTTTGTAAACTATAAAATACATGTATCAATGAAATGCTTCCATGTGCACTGTTACCTTTAAGACATCGGAAATCTGTCGGATTTACGTTCCACGTTAGATTTTCCCCACACCGGATACTGCTGAAATTACTTTCCAGTATACTTGTAGGACATTGCGGGAAATACTCTTCGTACACAGTACTCATGTTGTTTTGAATGGATCTCCCGGATCTTGTGTTCCAAAACAAACCGTCTATAGCTGGTAAAGGACCACAACCTGAATCCAATAAAGGTATACACAGCTGTATGACATTAGTTGAGGAATTTTGTAATTTAACCTCTTTAATGCCAGTTTTTGTAAACAACAGGAAATTCCATCTGCTTTTTAATGACAGTTGTTCTTGAAAAAAATTGTTCGCACAAGATGTTATATTCCTTTGGACACCGCTAATGATCGACATAAGTAAAGGAGAATACAACTCACCTGGTATTATTCCATCGGTAGAATCCTCCTTACAGAAAGGCTTAGCTTCATTGTTTGGCATTTCTGTTTTAAAGTTCTGAACAATACATTCTCTTTGTTGCGTCATCCTGTTCTCTTCATCATTATACCCCGTTGCACATACCGTGCAGTATCGATGGTTTCCGCTAAATCCTTTGTAGATACTTTAAATAAAACAAAGCGAAATAATTCAAACTGACGGGGAAAAAATGACTTGGAGGATCATGTAATCAAAAATATTTACTTAATTGCTTCAAAGTATGACAACCAACGAATCCATATAAAGAGGATTGGAAAATTATGCATTATGATTTTGATCTATTTTATTTCTCAAGTTGTACATAGCATATATGTTCCATCAAAACAAGGGATAAATAATTAAATGTTTAAACTGACTTTGTTCCCCCCTCCCTTCATCCGGTTTAATAAGTGTATGGATCTACTTCTGTTGTTTCGACTTTGTCGATTCTAAGCTCCTTTACACAATATCAAAACGCGATGATGGTTTTTTTTAAATAACATAAGTTGAAATTTAGAAGGGAATGCAATGACTATTGCGAACTATATATTAAGGAAAAAGAATAATATTAAGTAGGTAACCGAACTACCAAAAAATAAACATTTGCATAAAACATCAAGGTTTACAGATGAAGGTCACAAACCAACAGACAAGGAAATAAGAAAGGACGATCAATGCTTTATAGCACCTGGGACTAATACGATCTCTTCATTGTTCAGAATTTTAATAAACCAAGATTTAGTTCCTTGTAACAGTTTATGGTAGCTGATTTAAAGATATGCATTTTATTTGATTAAGTGCATGATATGCTATTTGTAGCCAAGCACTATCTTCGTGTATAATCGGCTTTGCACATCTTTGTACATCATTAAAATTGTTAGGTGCATTGTTCAAATTTAAAAGGTCAGCGACAATGCCTTTCAGTTTTAAAATCTAACGTTTTAAAACATTTTTCATAGTTTCCTTTCCAAGGACATCCTAATAAACTTTGAAATATTTTTCATAGTCTCCTTCACAGGAACATCCTAATAGACTTCATGCACATTGTACCAATTAAATGTATTTTTCTTGCTTAAATTCTTTTTTATAAATTTTTTTTATACATGCATGGCATCAGATTTGTTCTAACTTTGCAAAAAAGACTTGATATGCGTATTTAAAGAGAAAGTATCGTTGCTACGCTGAAAGTCGGATGTGTACGCAGTGTTTGATTTTTTTTTCTTCATTTTCCTGGATATATTTTTTTTTTTACGAATTCGTATGTATATGCTATCTTGAATAGAGACAGGGGTATTGAACTGGCCTATTCAATTCTAAATGTCAAAAGAAAGGAATATCATTTATCCCGAAGATAAAGTTAAAAAATAGTGTTTACTCACAACCGTCCAGTTTCACCTTCCTCGAGATGGAAGCAGTTTCCAGAACAACACACCACCGAGGCAAAAATCAGAGGAAACAGCATCGGGAGGACCTCTTACCAGTAAATGTCTCATACTTAGAAGGAAGCAGGAAGTATTCTGTGTGATCTTGTTTTTGGAAATTCGTCTTTTCCGTGTGTTATTTTTTTTTTCTTAGAAGATACCATTTTAATACTAATATACGTATATACATTGTAAGTATGTAAATAGTAACGGAAAACACCGCTATAACGCTAAAAAAAAAATAAATAAATTTCCGGTTGCTCCACTTGTAAATTTGTTATTATTTTAAGGTCTACGGATTTATTTTTTCTGCTATCTAAAGAAGAATAACTCTAATTAAATTTGTAAAAGTGGAATGCAGTGGTTCACTGTTTTATATCGGGTACTTTTAAACCATAATTAATCATTTTTTTTAATTGGTGACTTTGATTGTCTCTTTGGTAATTTATTTATAGATTAATACAGTATATTTCAAAAATAAAACGAATATACTCGTGTATTCCGACATATCATTATGTGTTGTTTTAATTAAAATATATGATAAAAACTTATACGCTCGATCGCAGTTTTTTTCAAAGCCCTATTAAATATATTGTCATGGTATTGATTACAGAAACCACAATATTAAAAAAAAAATGTTTTGCAATATTTCTGGAGCCACAGAATTCTCTTTTTACAGAGTTTATTTGTTAATGCATTTGTTACAAATGTTTGGTGGATAGAGCAGAAAGAATGTATGAAAGTTTTATATTACAATTTATTCACCAGGAAAACAGTAGTAAACTTGTAAAACACTACCAATATTTTATATTCAGGAGATTTTGTATATGCTCTCCAGATTTCTATTTACTGAGGAAAAGGAACACTGTACATATCCTAACGGTGGTTTAAACTGATGAGAATATGTCATATATTTAAGCGCGGATCCAGGAATTTTTTCCAGGAGGTGGGGGGGGGGGGGGGGGGGGGTTACTCCAGTCAAAAAAAAAGATTCTATCCAGAAAAAGATATACTAAACGTCTTTCCCAATCGTATCAAGCTAAGCCCAAAAAATTTCCTGACAAGCAAAATAAAATAAAATAAAATAAAATAAAATAAAATAAAATAAAATAAAATAAATAAATAAATAAATAAATAAATAAATAAATAAAAATTAAAAGTCCATTCCAAACGTAAAAAAAGCTATTTCGTGGTGGTGGTGTCCACGTTTTCGGGGGGGGGGGGGTTCCAAAGTAATTTTTTATTTGCTACAATATATACTTTTCATAATTTTGCAAATTCGTGGGGGGTCCGGACCCCCCCCCTCCCCGACCCCTATAGATCCGCGCATGTCTATTGGATATCGTCGGAGCCCCCCCCCCCCCCCCCCATTGAAGGATACGGTTTTCTAAAGTTACATTGATGTATTTGTGTATAATTTTAGGAAGGCCGTTTTTAATAAGTATATATCATGATTCATAAAGACATTTAATTTTATTTTTCACAGTCGAAAAGTTCTGCTTAAGAATTAATTGATAACTGCATGCTTTTTTTCTACTGTCTCTACAAAGATATTCTCTTTTAAAGTAAGCATGGTCACTACACTGAACTTAAAACTTTTAAAAATTGTTTCTACCAAGAAGATGAAAATGAGGATGAAAATGAGGATAAATGTGGAAACCGTGCTTCATTACAAAAATCGCCGAAGGACCCATAGGAAATGCATAGTTTTGATAAAAGACTAGTCTTTCACGCTGTACAGTTTTCAGATGGATCAAGAAACTCGAAAATAAAAGAAAGAGAGGTTAGAAGATCGCAGTCGATTTGCTAAAAAAAATTGTAGGGACACCAAAACAAATAGAGAGATGCTTTGAGTAATATATAATATCTAAAAATGCTACATTTACAAGATAAACATTACTAGAATACTAAATGTTTCATCATCATAACAGTTTATAGAGTTCTCTTACAGAGGAAATGAATCTAAAAATATTTTAAAATTTCTATCAGTTGGCTGCCTTATTTATTTACAGACGTCTAAGAGAAAACAAGCATTTAATGTGCCAATGGTGTATTGAAAATTAACATTTTAACAACAGAGGTATAATAGACTCAGGTAATGAATAACGAAACAAGGGTGCACCTTATATAGCCCAAAAGAAAGATCAATAATATAATATGGAATCAGAGAGGAAGCTTGCGTTTTTATTGTATACAAAGAGAAGCAAGGACTCCAAGTGTGTCTCATACAGATTTTCTCTTTAATCGAGAGGTCAAATGATATATGTAACTACACATGAAAAAGAATTATCAGTGGTAGCTTTTATGTTAAATTTGCACTGAGGAAATTTAAGTTGAGATTCATTGATGCTCTGATATGAGAGATAAGTATTAATGACCTAAATACCCATCATTTCTTTGTACATTTGTCATGTTTAAAAGTCTTTTTTGTCTACATTTTACCCCATGATGTATGATATTATTGTTTGAATTTATTAATTTTTTTTTTGGAAAATCATAAATTTTATATGATTCAGCAGAGGGTTTCTGACCCTTAAGCAGACTCTAAGTCCAAATACCGCTCCCCGGAGTAATTTTCTTATACACGACAACACTGCTGCATATAAGAAACGTTACAGAGGTTAACCATTCCCATATTCCCCAGATCTTAGTCATTGTGAAGATCTTTATACTCCAAAACACTAGAAAACAATCAAAGGAAGACTACAATTCCAGGTATGTCATGCTATCAATCAGTGCCTTTTAGAGCATCCCTAAAGATGAGTATGCTGTTCTACGTCCTGCATACGTTGGGATCTTTTCAATAGACCATTGGCATATTTCTTAGACGTCTGTAAATACACATGTGTAAAGGTAAACAAGAAAAAAGTTTAGGGATCAGGAACATTAAATAAATGCTTCTCGTGGTTTTCTTATTTTTAGATGACCTTTTGCATGACATGTACTTACTGAACAATATATACCTCGGTTACGTGGCACCAAGTCAAAACTTCGAGCATGCTGGAGTAATGTTCATACCTAACGCAGAAGATGGGGTCACCCCTTCCTTTTCTTTCCATAAGGCACTTAACTCAATTTCAGGCACACCCGCTTCAAGCTCGTAGTTTGACTTACTTTAAAATGACAACATTCGCTTCTTTTCAGACAGGTCGAGCCTCTTTATTGTAAACCAATCATTTATTTTTTTATATACATGTATGTATATACATCCTCAGGTAGTGTAGATTCAAGTTTGTTTAAATCATGACCCCCAAAGTTGGTTTAGGGCCACAATTGGCGATAAAAGTTTTTCATAGGGGTTAGTGGGAAAAATCTTTAAAAATCTCCTTCTCAAGAACAGCAAAGCCATATTAAGTCATATATGCAAGCATCATCAGGTAGTGTAGATTCAGACTTGTTCAAATCATTGAGTCCCATGAAAAGGGTGGGGCCACAATGGGGAAGCAAATCTTTACATCCGATGGGAATATATAAGAAAATTAAATCTTTAGAAATCTTCTAAAGAACAGCAAAGTCATGTTTAGTGATATTTATATGGACCATCCTCAAGAAGTGCATATATATTCAAGTATGTTCAAATCATGACACCCAGGGGTAGGGTTGGCCAGAATTGGCAATCAAAGCCATACATAGAAATATACAGGAAAAATCTTTAAAAACCTTCTCAAGAACAGCAAGCCATGATTTGTTATAGCTACATGGAAACATCCTTAGTTAGTGTAGATTCAAGTTTATTCAAATCATGACTTTGGGGGCCAAAATATGTGATTTAAATTTTACATATGAATAAATGGGGAGAAAATTTGCTAACGAAGAACAAGTGTTTCACGTAAGCGCTGTGGCCCATGGGTCTTTTGTTATTTTAGCATGTTTTAAAAGGTGCAGGTTTGTTTTTGTTCAAATACAATCATGGTAAAAAGATAGGTAATCAGAGATTACAGAGCTCATCTCAACGAATGTTGTCTTTAAGTAAGGCAAAGTCCCAGACTAAACTAATAATCTACGAGTGTGCATCCCTAGATGCAACATTTATGCAATTTTGGTCTGATAGGGCTTGCAGTTACTTGGGAATAGACTTATCTGAAAACTTAAAACTAGTCACTCATCCAGAAAATGTAAGTCAAATCCAGCATCCGAAGCAAGTTTTGAGATTGTTCGTCCCTTGATGCATCATCCATGCAAGTTTGGTTCAGATAGGCCTTATAGTTACTTGGAAATGAGGTCTGCTCCAAAAAATTTAACCTAGCCACTCATCCATAAAATATAGGTCAGATTCAGCATCCGAAGCAAGTTCAGTAGTGTGCATCCTTAGATGCATCATCCATGCAAGTTTGGTCAATATAGGGTTTATAGTTACTTGGAAATGAGATCTGCTCCAAAAACCTTAACCTGGTCACTCATCCGGAAAATATAGGTCAGATCCAGCATCCGAAGCAAGTCCAGTAGAGTGCATCCTTAGATGTATCATCCATGCAAGTTTGGTCAATATAGGGCTTAAAGCTACTTGGAAATGAGATCTACTCCAAAAACTTAAACCTAGCCACTCATCCGGAAAATGTAGGTCAGATCCAGCATCCGAAGCAAGTTCAGTAGCGTGCATCCTTAGTTGTATCATCCATGCAAGTTTGGTCAATATAGGGCTTATAGTAACTTGGAAATGAGACCTGCTCCAAAAACTTTAACCTGCTCCAAAAACATTAACCTGGTCATTCTTTAGCTAAAATTGCAGCATCTGAAACCTTGACTGGTACAATAAACACACTAGAAGCATCCTCCATGCATCTCTGACTAATATAGGCCATAGAAGTACTTGAAAACTTCGTTGAGGTGAGCTAAAAATAATATTTCTAAAATTACCTGAAAAAGTTTTATCAAATTGGAATTGGGATATTTCTTTTTTAAAGGAGTGAAACCAGATTTTGTAAATTTCCAATGTCATTGCACTACTTTACTCTCTCTGATGGTTGCAATAAAAAAACTACTCAGATTTTCATGTTTTTGTTGATTTGACATAACACATGAAGACTCACAAAGATTTAATTCAAAGTCTTTGTACTATCTTACTTTTAAAT